CAGCCTCGACCTGCTGGCCTCCGGCAATCCTCAGCCTTCCAGTGGCTGAAACTACAGGCATGCACTTCCATGCCCGGCTAATTTTTTGATTTACTGTAGAGATGAGGTCTTGCCAAGTTGCCCAGGCAGGTCTTGAACCCGCGGGCTCAGGCAATCTACTCACCACAGCCTCCCAAAGCGCAGGATTACAGGCTGAGCCACTGAGCCAGGCTGATCTCCAACTTTTAAATAAATAAATAAGATGTAAGGTTTGGCATAATTAATACATGACTTCAGATTCCGTTTCTGTCACTTACTAGCTGTGTAACCTTGGGTGAGTTATTTAACAGCTCCAAGCCACCATCTCTTTATCTGTGAAACGAGACGTTAATTTCTACTTTGTAGAGTTATTTTAATCTGAATGATTGTTAAACACACTCAGAGTATAATTGTGGGCAAACCATAAGTCTGAAGTGATTTAGGATCATAATGCCTCTCAGCTATTTTCTGTGCTGTTACATATCAGTGCTCTAGTTTTCTTCCTCTCAAGCTACCAGTTCTCTAGTTTTATTATTAAGGTATTTAAAATTTGAATTTCTTAACACAGGATATCATGTGTTTAGAAAAAAATAAAATGGAGTGTGTTTTGTATGTTCTATTTTTAGTTACCTGGTGGGAGATGAATTGTTTGTGGTAATGGAGTACCTTGCTGGAGGGTCACTTACTGATGTTGTGACAGAAACCTGCATGGATGAAGCCCAGATTGCTGCTGTGTGCAGAGAGGTAGGTGTGCTCCCTTTTTGATATATTATGGTGATGTGTGGTTAGCAGGTGGTGAAAACAAAGGGAAGGTTTTCTGCATGGGTAGTTTTTATTTTGTGAGATACTTTTTCTCATTTCATTCTACGTGAGAGTTACAGCCCTTTCCTTCAGGTGTAAGACAACTTGGGAATTAATTGTGGACCTTGAAGTCATAGGCAAATTTTGATAGGGTGATCATGATCCTTTACTTTCCAAACAGAACACTTTTGAGTAAGGGTGTATACCATTAAAAATATACTATTAGGCCAGGCTAGGTGGCTCACGCCTGTAATTCCAGCACTTTAGGAGGCAGAGGTGAGAGGACTACCTGAGCCCAGGGGTTCAAGACCAGTCTGGGCAACTTGGCAAGACTGTGTCTCTACACTAAACCCAAAAGTTAGCCGGACGCATGCCTGTAGTTCCAGCTACATGAAAGGATCACCTGAACCCAGCAGGTCAAGGCTGCGGTAGCTGTGAGCCTGCCACTGTACTCCAGCCTAGGCGAAAGAGTGAGACTCCAGCTCAACAACAAAAAAAAATACACCACTCAGGTCAGGCACAGTGGCTTGTGCCCATAATTCTAGCACTTTGGGAGGCTGTGGTAGGCAGATTGCTTGAGCCCGGGAATTTAAGACAAGCCTGGGCAACATGGTGAGATCTTGTTTTTACAAAACAAGATGTGGTGGCACACACCTGTAGTCCCAGCTCTTCAGGATGCTGAAGCAGAAGGATCACCTGAGCTTAGGTGGTCTGGGCTTCCTTGGGCTGTGATCATCATGATCATGCCACTACACTTCAGTCTGGATGACAGAGTGAAACCCCATCTCAGTAAATAAATTACATCATCTGGCAATGAAAACTAAGACCATCTCACATAAAGTGGAACACATGTTTGCCTTTAGTATTGAAATGCCAATCTAAGCCAAAAACAAGCATTTCTTTTTCTGTCTATATATAATTTTTTTCTACATATGAGATTTGAGTTGGTAGTTTGTTTTTTGTCATTGAAATTTCTAATATCACAGGAATCAGTCACAAAGGGCAAAATTGTACATGTTTATAAGAATATGTTGTTTTAGACCAGGCACAGTGGCTCATGCCTATGATCCCAGCACTTTGGGAGACCAAGGTGAGAGAATTACTTGAGCCCACGGGTTCAAGACCAGCCCGGGCAACTTGGTGAGACCTCATCTCTATAGTAAATCAAAAAATTAGCCAGGCATGGTGGCTCATGCCTATAATCCTAGCACTTTGGGAGGCTGAGGTGAGAGGATTGCCTGAGCCCATGGGTTCGAGATCAGCCTGGGGAAAATGGTGAGACCTCGTCTCTACAATAAATAAAAAAATTAGCTGGACATGGTAGCGCATGCCTGTAATTCCATCTACTTGGAAGGCTGAGACAGAAGGATCGCTTGAGCCCAGTAGGTTGAGGTTGAGTGGCTATGAGTGTGCCACTGCACTCCAGCCTGGGCAACAAAATGAGGCTCCAACTTAAAAAAAAAAAAAAAGAAAGT